GAGTAAGGTTTGAACGAGTGTGAAAGGCTTTGCCACATTCTTCACATTTGTAGGGTTTCTCTCCAGAATGGATCACTGTATGTTGAGCAAGGTGTGAACAACAGCGAAAGGCTTTGCCACATTCTTCACATTTGTAGGGTTTCCCCTCCAGTATGGATCACCATATGGTAAGTAAGTTTTGAATGAGTGTGAAAGGTTTTGCCACATTCTTCACATTTATAAGGTTTCCTTTCATTATGGATCACTGTATGTCTAGAAAGTTTTGAACGAGAGTGAAAGGTTTTGCCACATTCTTCACATTTGTAGGGTTTCTCTCCTGTATGGATCACCATATGTCGAGTAAGGTTTGAACGAGTGCGAAAGGCTCTGCCACATTCTTCACATATGTAGGGTTTCTCTCCAGTATGGATCATCATATGTTGAGCAAGGTTTGAACGACAGTGAAAGGCTTTGCCACATTCTTCACATTTGTAGGGTGTCTTACCAGTATGGATCACCGTATGTCGAGTAAGATGTGAATGAGAGTGAAAGGCTTTGCCACATTCTGCACATTTATAGGGTTTCTCTCCAGTATGAATGGTCTTATGTCCAGCAAATTCTCCTTGAGAGTGAAAGGCTTTGCCACATTCTTCACATTTGCAGGGTTTCTCTCCAGTATGGTATCTTTGATGTTGATTATCATTTGAGTACTGATGAAAGGATTTGTCACATATTTGATATTGGTTGGGTTTATGTGCAGTATGGATTCTCTGATGGTGACTAAGATGTGGATACCAAGTAAAGGCTTTATCACATTCTTCACATTTATAGAGTTTCTCTCCACAATGAATTTTCTGGTGTTGTGAATGACATGAGTAATAGCTAAGGGCTTTGTCATGTTTTTCACTTTTGGAGACTCTCTCTCCCCTATGGATTTTTTCATGTTTATTTAAATAGGATGATTTCTTAAATACTTTCCCACATACATTGTGTATATTTCCTCCACTATTCATTTGATGTTGACTACATTTTGAGGACCAGTTAAATGTTTTGCTATATTCATGTTTGAAAGCCATTTCAGAAATATGGATACTCTGGTGGATAACAAATTTGGAGTGTTGATGAAAGACTTTCCCACTCTTGTTACATTTGTAATGGTTATTTACAACTGAGCATTCTATCTGGTCTTCAGCCTCATGCACACTTTCCCAAGATTTTTGTAAGCATATGTTCTTATGGCTATATTTATCATATTTTCCCACTGGCACCTTTGCAAGTGAGTCTTCTATGCTCTTCTCTAGCAAAAGGTCTTCAGTGTAATGAGAAGTCACAGCTGAAAATCATGAAAATAAAAATGTATTCCATGTGCTAGACTCGGGTAAATAGCCTTTAAAAATAAAACATAGTATTATACCATGGTAAGAGCATAAGTAGGATGGGAAGTACAAATCACAGGTTTTCACTCCATCATAAATATATGTACTTAAGAAAATACTTACCCCATTGCCTGTGTGAGAACTCAAAAAACAGCTAAGACTTTGCAGAATCCACAATGATAAAATGAGTTACATGGAAGAGAAAGTTTAGTAATTTTGCCATCATAATTTCTCTTCCTCTACAACATAGTATGATGCAATCAGATGTGACATCCTAATTCTTGATTTCTTTCTCAGGGAATAAACAGAATAGTGGAGTATTAGTTTGCACTTCTGTCCTCTGAGGGTTTAGGCAAATATTGGTTTCTGTCCTAACATACAGGAAAGACATCCTAAGAACAGGCATGAGAGTATCCTAGAATCTCTAACTTAGAAATTGGTGTTAAATTAATCTCAACAAAGTTACATCATAAATATTATGACATGTATATCTTTGAATTTCAAATACTCCAATTCAAACAAAGTATGCCAAAGCATAGAAAGAATCTGGATAAATGACTCAATAATATGTGGAGGTGCAAATTACAAAAAAAGTTTGAGAAGTTTTCATATGAAATGAAGAAACCCTTACTTGAACTACCACACTACTGCCTGGGTGACAGAGAACATGGTTGATAAAACATAACCATAAAAAGAATTTGGAAAACATCCTTGATAAGATATTGGCATTAGTAATAATTTTTTATAACTACAGGAATAAAAATAAATATAAACAAGTTAGCTACACCAAACTGAAAAGCTTATGCATAGTAAAGGAAAAAGCAAAAAGGGAAAAGGCTTACAGGACAAGAGAAAACATCTGCAAACCATATACTTCATGAGATGTTAAAGCAAGAAAATTATAATCACTTGAATAAAAAGTAGCCCCAAAATAAATAGTTATTTTCCAATGTAGACATATATATTGACAACAGGTATATGAATTGTCACTGAACATCAGCAATGGAGGCAATTTCACATAAACACAATAATGATATATTGTCTCACAGCTGTTAGAATGACTAATATCAACCAGAAGAGAGACAGAGAGAACTTTTTTTTTGAGTTGGAGTCTCACTCTGTTACATAGACTGGAGTTCAGTGGCCACTCCTGGCCACTTCAGCCTCGACCTGCTGGGCTCCAGTGATCCTTCCACCTCAGCCTTCCAGGTAGCTGGAACTACAG